AAGAAGGACAAAAAGTTGGAGAAAGGACCGAAGTCCATTGCAAAGCTGTTTTACCAGCATAAAGAGGGCTTGGCCCATTGGCAGTGCGTAAGCACAAACTTTGACCGAAGTCGCGCATGTCAATGCGTGTAAACGTCATACAAGCCGACGACAAATCCAGTCTTCGTGAATGTAAGCCAATACGGTTTTGGGCATGTGTTAAAGATCAGGCACTCTGGCCCTATGATATAATAAGCCCTCCGTAAGCGCCACCACTTTTGCGAGATCGCCGCGACTGCAGACGTGATTGTTAGTGTTTTGGCATCACCACCATTAAAAAGGTTAGCACGACATTTCGTCGCAGAGCGCGTTATGAGTCACTGCTCACCCCAAGGGTATGGTTAAAACGTTGCACGGCATCGCCGCAGCCTTGAGAGGTTTTCTCCCGCCAGCTACCATATACATGAGGTAAACGCATATATATGCTCCACCAACCATTGAAATAGTCAGATATAGCCATAGTTGTGATTTTTATGTTTAGCCATCAGAAGGGTTTATAATTGGCAACATATAAATATTTGTTAGTGTCTCTGACGTTGAGTATAATGTATTTTCGATCAAGTTTGTCTCACCCACCAGTAAGTGTCACGTTGTAATACAATAATGTTTAAATGAGTATTTATCAATGAACGGTATCTTATTTCGAAGTAGACTGTTTAACGTTAACACGTTATACAGTCTACTTTACAATATTTTATTAAAAAAAATTGAGAACGGATTGTATTAGTAGCAATTCTTAATAAGAAAGTTTAAAATAAAAGGTTTTCTAAATTTTCATAGTGCTAATCACTGAGTGCACTTAAGATAGAACATTAAAATTCGTAGAAAAAAGTACTACAAAAAAGAAAAAAAACAAGTAGGAAAAAAGTAATCTTACGGGTGTTGCAAATGGGTCCATGGGCGGTGGTTATTGCTTAATATCAAGTAAACCGCCAGCTCGCTAACCATCTTTCAAAAATAAATTTATTTAAAATTTGCAATATTCAAAGAAATTTTGAAAATCATCATTGATATTTGTAGAAAAAAAAAGAAACAGCAATTTAGCACAAGAAAAAACAATTTAAAACAATAATAACGAAAGTAAACTAAAATTTCCTCAAACTAATGGTAAAACTTCCTAGTATCCCTATATACGCAATCAAAAGTATACAGTTAATTTACAAAACAATGCATTTACGCACTCAAGAATATGAAGAACTTTCTTTTAGTTGTTTCCAAAAGAACAGGGATTTTAAGCTAATTTTTAATAATTAAATATTTAAGCAACAAACATGTAGTACAAGTATTCAAACCCTAGAAACGATTAAGTTCTGGCAGTATTTACTCTCAACTCGTTATAAAGTAGTAAATAATTAAAATACTTAACATAGTTACTAAATTTAAAACTTTCATCTTGATTATTTTGTATACTCAATCGTATACAAAATAATCAAGATGAAAATTTTTAATTGAATTATTATATAATTAATACATTTCAAATGATCCTAAGTGAGTTCAACGTTAGTGGATTCATTGTTTTCATAGTAAAGATTAATTACTGTCATCAATTATTTGGGTGTCAAAACACTAAGTGATCAATTTAGAGGTTTGTGCAATATAATCTATGATAGATATATAGCGATTGATCAATTAATGTCTATCGTATTTTGATATTACTGTCGAACTAATGTTGCACGCTTTCATAAAAGCGATACAAAGGATATATACATACATAGGACCATGCATAGGACTACAAACATCTAAAATCTATAACTGAATATTATATCTGCACTGAAAGATCTCATAAAGAATGTTCCATAAGTAATATTAATAAAATTATGTGGTAAATTATATTATTAAGTAAATTAAAATATGTATTATTTTATAATTTTAAATTATTAGTAATTATAAAATAATTACTAAAATACCATTGTTAAATGAAACTGTCATTCATACTAGTAGAACTGCACGTCAGAAGTGAAAAAGTCTTAGCTTCACAACGAGTAAAATATTTACGTGGGCGCGCACACCGACAGCTAAAAAGCGACAAGTTAAAATGGTAGGATGGTTGCAAAGTGACCAACTTCACAGTATTATCATAGCAACTAAAAACAACTTTATTACATTTACGTATATATAATTCCAAGTTACTCAATTAAACCGTTATCAATTGCATTAAATGTTAAAGACATTCTTTTTTATTCTCTTTTTAGTATTTTTTGATATACAACAGGCGACAAATATACATCTATGAAAACTTCAACAGCTGTCTAACTATCACAGTTCATTAGATACAGCCCGTTGACAGACGGATACACAGACAGACAGCGGAGTCTTAGTAATCGGGCGGCACTTTATTACTAAGACTCCGCTATCTGTCTTTTATCCTTTGGGTACGGAACCCTAAAAAGACTGGAAATCAATACTGTTTCGTTGTCAGCAAGATGTAGTTGTTATCTATCTTACAAAAGGGTAAGAAGCCTTTATTTATGCTCTTGTGTGTCCTCTTAGTGGAGAGAGAACATTTACCAGATGTTGAGCCAGTCTGTAAGTTGGGAAGTTGATCTTGCTTATAATAGAGCGGGCGTGAAGGATTGGTTAGTTTGTGTATTTTAGACATATTTTTGTACGAGTATATCATAAGATTTAGGGGGATTTTCCCATGAAGGTATCACCTATTTCACGTCTAGATTTAATTTTCGGAATATGTTTTGTTGCGATCCGATCTGTATTGACCTCTTTGTACGCACTTACCTCCGATAACAATTCTTCTATTTTTAAACTGTAACCAAACGTTTTCATTATCACCACAGCATTTCCCTTATCAGCGCGGAGAACAGTTAAGTATTTTTTTGTTACGTAAGTTGTTTAATGCGTTAAATTCGTCTTTAGGAAGTTAAGATTTAAGCACTAAACTTCAAAGTAACAAAGATGAAATATATAAGGTTGTGAAAACTATACACGCAAAGTGACTTAACGTACATTTTATTTTCATACCGAACAAGCGGAAGAAACCGCGGATATAATCCAATGATTATATAAAATGTTCAGGAGTTGTTAAATTCTATTACGAGGGACGGAATCCATTCCTTTTGTATGCTGTTGATGTGAGTTAGAGAGATGATACTACCAACTGTGGTAGGGCCACGCAAAAATCTTCACTGTTGAATAAATACCTCACATAAGACCAGCTTGAAGTGGATGTTATTCTTCTGCGTTTCTTCTGATGAATGAGGTAGTCGAGCTGCACACCAATAAAAATTGGCAACGCATCTGTAACCTTACAGAAGTTACAAATGTTACTAGGCAGCGGTTAAAACTCAACATATCTAATTTGACAGTCATCGCTCAGTAGTCATACAAAAAGTTGGCAAAGGCTATACTAATAATATACTAACTAATTTGTATCACGAAGCGTAAGGCAAAAGGAAATATGCTGTTATTGTGCTAACGTGTTTACCACAAAAAGTTACATCTTTACTAAACATCAGAAATGTTCTTAAGCCAATGAGCTTTTGTTCACAGCGTAGCTATATTATTGAGTTAACCATGAAAAGTCGCTGTGATTTGTCTTAGTTAAACTTAAAAGCATTTTAATGACCAAGCTTTTAGTTATAAGGCAGTTCTTTGTTTCACTTACAGTGCCTTTTATACGGAGAAACTATCTCTCTTAAATTAATGCGTAAAGTAATTATAAAGTTTTTCTGTCTTAATTTTTCGTAGGGTGCAGATATAATTTAAGGAAAAAAACTTTAGTAACTGTATCAAAAAGGTTAAAAAAAGAATCTTAAGGCCTGAACAGTAAAGATATTTTATTATTAATGAGATGTTTTGATTTTCGAAGGGATGGCACAGGGGAGTAAGGCTTCCCTTACTCCCTGTGCCATCCCTTCGAAGCCTCAGTGACGTGATGGAAGGTGCAGTTTGTCGCAAATTAATGTTCACGTTATATGAGATGGTGCAAACGTAAAATGAAAATGTTGACTTCACGCTGATCTTTTACGAGGCCTTAGTGGAGCAAATAATTAAGCTATTGTAAACAAGCTGTTATACAACAGGTATTGTGATATAACGTATATATCTTTAATAAAACTTTAATCAAGAAAAAATAAGCACTCACATTTTAATGACCCTAATGGCGATACTAAAAGAAAGAAATAACTTTCAATCCTAATGGACATAAAAAATACAGAATGATTTTAGGTATGCAGGACTTATACTATAGTTCAAGCAACGTCGGAAAAACAAGAATTTCAGGTAGACCAGTTTTGAGCGTTTGGCATAGTTTAAACAACAATAAATATATCCGACAGTAAAAGATTCATATTTTTTTAAATTCTTTGAAACATTGATATTGATTTACTCACTAAGTTAACTAGGTACTAAACGAACTGATCAACACAACCTCTACCGCCAGTTAGCCCGTATGACGTCCGGGAGTATGAGAGAGATAGTATATCTAAAACCTGGCCTACATGAAATTTTCTCTCAAAAACGTAGCTAGTTCTAAGACTATTATAACAGTATCAGTTTCCAAAAAGCTCTAAAAACTCTTATTATTTAATAAAGATAACTTAACTATTCACCCCAAGACAAGTTAAGTTATAAATGTTTAAAAATTTATAACAAAATCTTTCATAGCATTACAAACACAATTCAGGTCAAAACTAAATGTAGTTAAAATTAGCTGCTGCCCGCGACTACGTCTGCGAGAATAGACTGAAGGCGTAAAATATGTATATAACTTATAGCCTATATCTTGGTTATGGTGCCGGCACCGGGGATCGAACTCAGGTTGCAAGTGAACAAGAACAGTAGCGGTGGCAGTATTCGAGAAATTACATAATTGCCTTAAGGAGTATCCTTAGGTAAACAGTTTTTGTCCCAAGGCGTATGTTTACTCTGATTTGACATTTCCAGCGACTACCACGTGATAGGGATTAAGCTTTTAAACTCATCCAGCGTTCTGTTCGGAGAGGAGTATGCTGAGACGACAACAATTTCTTCCAGTAAAGCTGCTACAAAACAAAACGAAGACTGTTGCTTGGAGCAAGGAGCGCGCCTTATGTTACAGCATGTACCTGGAAAAAGCCGTGAGCTTGGAGCAAGGAGCACGCCTTATATTACAGGATGTAACTGGAGAATGCCGTGAGCCTGGAGGCGAGGCGGTGACCATGAAGTAAGTGGCTGGTGAGATAGCGTGCGCTGGCAAAATAGCAGACGTAGGATAAGTTTGCCGTGACCCTGTTAATATGAGCCCCGATTGACACATCGTGGGGGTTTTAAAAGATAAGAGTGATGTAGCGAACCTTTGCCCCCACAAAATAATACAGTCAACGCCCGTGAATGTCACGGTTTTATGAAGTATGTACATCGTTGGCGGGTAGGTTATATTCCTCCATTAGATTAAGCAGGGATGAACACACGGGCGGCTCTAACGATCTCACAAGGCCGTATCTATAACCCACGAGTTCTGTGATCAATGAAGCTAGTGTACGGGCTGACAACAAAAATGTCAGTCAAGTTAAAGTAAAGCACACCCTTACAAAAAATTATAGCAATTCTTAACTTTCGTAATATATGTCAGAAATTAGTAAATAAAACTTACGGAGGCAATAAATGTAAACGTTTTTCTGAACAGAATATTTCACGCAAAAAAATTAATTGATTTGAACTATTATGTACCAAATAAATATCGGCGTAGTTTGCCCTTCCATGAAAAAAAGAAGTAAACTATATAATTTATAAATTACATTAATTTAATTTGATTGAAAGTTGAGAAAATCGAATGTGTTTTAAGTATTTTGTAACACAAAGTTTTTATGCATGAGCTTCTAATTAGCAAACATTGGCACACTTCCAAAAGGAAGAAGTGCATTCTCCATTAATGACCTCTATTTCTGCATAGAGAACGTGTTTGTAATTCAAGTTTGAAATTTTTGAATAAAATGTCCACATTTATTGTTCATCTCATTAAGACATAAATTATTTCCATAAACGCATATAAGATATTTTTTATTTACTTATTTATTGAACTTCTTATTTATTTCATGCTATAATCTTTTAGATAGATCCCGGTAAAGTAACTTAAATATTTATTTTCAACATTTCAATATAGTTTGAATTAATTCAAATAATATTACAAGTTTTAAAACTCATAAGGCATAAAAATGATATTTCAATAATAATTAAATTATAATGAAGGAAACTAACTTTTAAACTTAACATATTTAGGACAATGAGTACTATGCTGTTTGATGTATGACTCTTACAATATAAAAATGTTGGCACACAACTTATCTCTTCACAAAGACTAAGGAGACTATTGTTCAAGCATAAATTGACTCTTTGCGAATCCTGCTTTGTTTGTCAATGCCATGCACACTGTCTGTGTAGGACGTAATGCCAAGAGTAATTTGTAATACAGAACGGGGTATCTATCAGTTAAGAATGCTACTATAATATAGAATTTCCTACTATCTCGTAATGTAAGACCCTGAATAGAACCAAACAATGTCTTCAGTACATTATAGAACTTAATTCAGTTTAAATTTTTAAATAGACTCCATCAATGAACAATTTAGCGTTCGCTACATCAGTATTCGAGTTTTGAAATCTATTATGAACCGTGCGGCATTCGTTTGGAAATACCGTTTTCATTTCCGTAGGTCTGACACGTGGAAATAGCTAGTCCATCACCTCCATCGTATGCACATGCCTGTGAATGTTGTTTTTACTAATTTCGCATATATGTGTTTGGATTTAAATGATCTACGAACATAAGTTATGGATAATTATTATTGTAATGATCAGATCTCAGTGACAAAAGATTTTTTATGTGAGAAGAAGGCAAGTGAACTGGTTGTTCACCGGATGCTAAGTGATAGCCGTCGCTCATAAACATTTACAACACCTGCAGCATTGTTTCAGTACTTGCTCGGACGGACTTGCCCATTCGTGCAATAGCGAAGACTGTTGCGTGGCCCTACCACGGCTATATTAAGATAAATTAATATTTACCATCGGCCAAGTGTAATTATATGCATACAAATATAAAATAAATTAAAAATCAAATAAATCGCTTCGAAAAGCATTGACGGTAGAGGAGGTGTGCAGTAATTACAGTTTAGACCGAATCTCTAACTCAAACCTTCGCTAAAGAGCCATGATTCCACTCAAGGATGATGAAAGAAATATCAATATTTCACCACAGAAATTGGCAGTAAGAGATAAGTAATTTATAAAATTAAATTAAAGTGTACATTAAAGGATATTAAGATGTCATAAGCTCTTTCAAGTTAGATGGGAATAAAATAAATAATGGAATAATTAACGACAACCTGACATAATGGAACGTAAAACAACTCAGGCTGTTCCGTGACCATGGTCTAGCATTCGAAAACGAAAAAAAAAAAGAAAAAAGTACACTAAATTCTGTACGATAGATAAAACATCTTACTAATAATCATGTTATTTTATTTTCAAAAACATAAAATGCACAGTAATAAATAACCAATATTGTGATATACGGATATCCTTAAGTAAGCAATACATAATGTTTTCTATGCATCAGGCGATCGAATCTGATAAGTAGCATTTTTTAATGTAAAAAAGTGGCAAGTGACGGTTCACCTGATGTTAAGTGATAACCGCCGCCCCCGGACATTTGCAACACATGAATATATATTGGGTTTCAACAAACACAGTTATGTTAATAGTTAAGAGAATATATATCGAAGACATGAAACCGAATAGGTAAGTTCACGGTACGATTTACCGATTTTCAGTACATACCAAAAATAAAAATTATAAATTTCAAGAACAATAACATAATACCTACTAATTACAAAACAAATCTGGTACATATTTCAAAGACAATAACACAATAACCACTAAAAAAAATTACATCTATAAGTATGAAACAGTGAACAGAAAAAAAAACTACAACCCAAAAGAAAAACAAAACAAAATCATCAATATATAGCTCTACGAAAACACCAAGTCACTAGTCAAAAATACATAAACTATGTACCTACGCTGTATACAAAATACACACTTATTTTAGCCCGGTTGCTTTTGCACTTTAAGCAGATGTTCTTTAAGTTTTATTTACTGTTGGGCAGTTTTTTACTGGAGTGGTATATTATTCCAGCATTTTGTGGCAGCGTAGCGAAAGCTACCACAAATGAGGATGCACTATATTTTGCATGCATTAAACGACATCAACTCAGGTGCATGTTTGCAAAAAAAATACAGTACACGTATATCTTGTTTTTTTACCTTTTTAGACTAAAACAAACATCACAGATGGTTAATTATCCATTGAATATTTTGATTGTTGAATGAAGCTATTTTACGGATTGTATCACGTTTAATTAGATTATTCTAAATTCTCGACATACCCTTGTTGTGTACCCAGCATGGGACACGGAGTGAAGTATCCTGGCAAGCGAAATTGGTTGGAACCTTTCGAACAGTAGTTGTGTCAGCATTTCTAAGTGGAGATGTGGCATGGAGGGCAGTAACCTCTTTCTGCGAGTAGTCTAGAAGGTTGTGAAGAAGTGAAATGAATTTCTGTTTCCGGGAAAAAGTTATTCAAGCCAAGCCGATCACATCGTGGGTTTTAGTCGGTGTGATTCCGACATAATCTTGCTTCCCACGATATGAGAAACCAAGTATCCGTTACAGATTTCCCAACAAAAAGGAAAAGGTACTGGTTGAAGTACATGGCACTAGTCAAAGAAACATAATTTTAATCACTTGACAGAGACCTACAGGGAAATGCAAATATTGGTGGCGTAAACATCATTGCAGCAAAACGCGTAACAGAGCATACATTTTCTTACTGATATTTTTCCCAAAGGCAAATATTTTTTGTTTTCATATTACCATTTATATATTTTTTTTTTATGCGAAAAGTTGCCAAACGAGCGGACGGGTCACCTGATGGTAAGTGAATACCGCCGCCCATGGACATCTGCTACACCCGAGTGTTACAGATGTGTTGACAACCTTTTGAAAATTGGGCTCCGGCCACCTCACTCACCAGACGAAACGCGAAAGTATTTGTCATACTTCCACTTTACGCTGGTCTTCTGTGAGGTCGTGGTACTTACCCGGACGGGCCTGCCCATTCGTGCAACAGCCGAGGCTGCTGCGTGGCCCTACCACAGTCAAATAAAAGTTTATATTTTTTAATGAAAAACTAAAGCCTCATTATTGTTCTCCGGATCATACATAAACCCAAAAAAAATTATTCGTTTTCTTTTTCTTTCAGCCTGTCATTGATCAACTGGCCGGTTATAAGAAAAGGGAGTCAATTATCATTCCATAATTCTTTAGTGATATATGATAAGACAATTGTTTAATCTGTTGTACATAAGTACAATCGAATGGCGCAATATTCGTATAACCAAATTCCATTTCAATTTCCTGTCGCCAGACTAGCTGCCACTCTGTCACCGCCGAACGCGTATGAAATTATTCGAAGCACTTTTCTCATTTTATGGTACAAAATGAATAGAGTTCAATATAGACTAAAATTTATCTTTACCAACCTATTTTGTATTGAGTTTATCTACCTTTAAAAAGAGGAAAGTTCCACAGTATTCGCGCCTTTACATATACACATTTTTATAAAGCAACCGAACTAATTTTATGGTTTTAAATGTAACTATTGCAAGTAACTTATTGTTATTTTAGGTTTATTTGTGTGGATTCAGTGTCCAAGGTATTTCCATAATATTTATTGTACACCACAAAGATTTTAGACAATAAATATAAAATCAGACTTAAAGGCTAGGCGGTCTTATCGCTACAAAGCGATCTCTTCCAGACAACCTTAGGATGAGGAAAAATAAACTAATGAATAGTAGGACGTGGTGTGCTTAACTTTCTTGATTAATAACTAAATAGTTATCAATAAAATCCATACTATCAAATTCCAAATTAAGCTATAGATGTCAGAAGTTGAGTAAGTTACATATTTTTTTTTTGGGAGAAATAATTAGGAAAGCATTTCTACATACAGTCTGCGTCATTGAGCCGAACGATGAGCGTGTATACAGGTAATACGTTCCCCTCGTCATCCGATGTGTTCCGTTGACACCAATAATTGAAATACCAAGTGTGACACGGACATATGTGTGCAATGTGATGTTGTTATATGGCAAGTGACCGA